CATGACGACTTCACACCGATCTAAATGTGTCTCCATAAATTAACGATTTACCCCCCGCGAACCGCACGAAGAAGCGGTCTGCGGGGGGTGTTTATGTAAATCACTATCAYGTTGCCATGSAACTAACAAATAAAACCTTSCAGAAAGAGTCTCTTCTCAAACCAGTTTTATTAWGTTTATCAATCAATCGTTCTGCAAATTACCGCTTTACAAAATCATTTACGAAGGAGAAGCACTCCGAATTAGAATTCAGAGTCTAATAAGCCATTACACTAAAGTACGATTGAAAAAAACAACAACAAACATATTCATGTCGTTTGCCATCGGAAAGTTGAGTTTCGACATCGCATTAAACTAGTGTTTTGATGGGAAGCAAAACTAGCGAGTTATCTGATTGTTTCGCTTCCCTTCTATGATCGAAACAAACTAAAATATTCGCGACGAATTGACATCGAAAGTTTGTAAACTTAAAAGTTTCGACCGACATCATTGTTGACAATCTAGAAGGAGAAAAGTAGCGTTTGATGGGAAGCAAACTAGCGAGTTATCTGAGTGTTTCGTTTCTCTTCTTCGTATTGCTATCCAAAGTCTTTACCTCTATACTCGAGATATATAAACTTACGAAAGAATCAAAACTTTAACAATTCAAATAAAAAATACACCGCTCAAGCGATCAATGAGTCGGTATTAAACGTTTTTCATAGTTTGTGTTCTCAATTTGGCAAACTTTCCACACGTCTTCATCAAGCGTTTCAGCTCTGTTTTGATGTAATGAAACATATTTGTCGTGAAATTTAATACTTCGATGAAGTCATGTATAAAGTGTCTTGATTTGAATTACGCGCTCKAATTTGACAGCTGTGTTTACACTGTTGACTTGACAACCGTTAGACGATAAAACCGGTTTTATCTCGTTTCTTCGCATTGTGCATGCGCTGAATTTATAATTAGAAMTGTTCACAATGACACACTTAGATCGGTGTGAAGTCGTAATGAACACAAAAAAACTGCGAGAATCTCCTGGGACCAGGGTACTAAAACACTCAATATTTTAAAGTTGTGAATTTTATTACCGTTCGGCATAGTTTATGTGTTGTATACTTGGCATATAAAAATAAAATAAGCATTGTAGTTTTTGTTCAGTACAAGTATGCCGATATTTTAATATATTTATTTGCACTGAATGTTCGAAATTCATGTCGAAACTGATAGAAAAATCCTCTTGTGTGAATCGAGCCTAAATGTGACCATGGGGGGGAGGGCCATGGGTATTCTCAGTATACTTGGGGAGGGTCATAAGTTCAGTTTTGGAATGACTGGGGAGGGTCAAACGTTTTTTTGGAAAAATTACTCTGAATTCTGCAGCCCTCCCCCCCCGATAATAAACGTACCTTCCCTAAGCTAATATATTGGTGTGAAAATTTACCATGTTGGGTTGTGGTTTGCTGTCTCCCTCCAAAGCCTGTTACATTTTGCAATGCTGCAGAGTGTCTTTGCAGATAAATATGAAAAAATTGTTTCTGCCAGTTCCTTGGGTAGATATGAGGCAAAATCCACAGCAAGCAGAGGCTTTAGTTAAGAGTACAGTTGAAAAAAAAAAACTATCAGTGTCAGTTGCATGTTTCTAAAGTCTGGATCGCCTGATCCTAAATAATTTCACAGTTGGACTGCCTGTAGAGATGTAGACGTAAGTTACCATGGACCACCATGGCATTTCCGACAAACTTTTCAAGAGTTCATTTTGTTGTTCCCGCGCATTTTCTAAACCTCAGCTTATTTTTTTATGTTATTGTAAATTGCTCATTGTACAAATAAAATAAATAATATTAGAAATCCTCGCTTTTATGAACTTTCGCGCCTTCATTCCGGTCACTTCTTGTGCCAAAAAACGTACTTAGAAACGTTAATTTGATTGGTCAAGAGAATATAAAATTGCTGAATCCTGGTCAGCGGCGTCATTCCGTTGCGAAGAAGCAACTTTGACAAGAGTGATGTAAACAACTTCAAAAAGTATTCGTATTTTGGACTTTACCGATGAAAACACAGTAAAACTGACCCGTGATACGTTGAAGAAGATATCCTTTATAATTTTTCCTGAAAAGTTGGTCAAAATCACTAGCATTTATCAATTTTTTGGGGCAATTTGAAGCTTTTTGCAAATGAGCCATTCATAAGTCAGGATGATGTCAAGGGGAGTGACGAGCAAAGAAGCACAAAGAAGGCTGTCTCTGGAGTGTAAAGCATTAAGGGATCTCGTGGACAAACTAAGACAAGATATGCTTCTGTGCAGGAATGAGACCCAGAAAGTCAAAGATCAACTGCAGTGCTTGATCTACTTGGTCAAAAGGCAAGTTTTTATGCACCCTGGGTTTGCCCCCCATCCGGGACACAATATTCTTATCCCTGCTGTTGCAGTTGGTTTATCTGTTAATTCATTTCATGTTTCTTTTGTACAGAGCTTGGTCTGGTGACTACATTGCAGCAGTTCATGTCTCCAATATTGTTGGTTAGTATCAAGCACTGGGCTTATAGTAGCAGTATTATGTTGTAAATAATTAAATGGTTTTTAGTCTAAAAACTCTCTAAAAATACAATTTTTTCTTTTTTTGTGTGTTTCTTCCTTTTTCTTCCTCAAATGCTCATTATTGAATGTATTCTGCCAGGAGTACCACCACCAGAATTTAAAAAGAAAGAGCCAGAGCGAATAAATGTTTCCCCACAGGTAATTTAATTTGTAGATAGCCATTTTTGTGAATACAATAATGTAATTTTTTCTTCTTTTTTCAGCCTGACCCAGTAAGCAATTGGGCAAAACTGTGTATAGGAGTATTAAATAAAATGTACCAAGAGGAAGAGCTTGAATTGCGGGCTTCCCAGCTTATGTACCTACAAGATAGAGAGGGATATTTAGATGATGAGCT